AACGTTTTCAATTAGCATGGTCTCTTATGGGGAAAATAAAAATTTCTGTAAATATAGTCCAAAATATAAAATTTTGTTGAAATTTTGAAAATTTACTAAAATTTATAATTTATTAAAAATACAAAACGATAGTAAAATTACCATGAAAATATACTAAATTTTTTTTCATTGACTTGTCCAAACCATATAATAGTTATTCATCAAAGCAAATACAAGATAATAATTTTCTATGGCTATTACTTCAAGTAATTAAGGCATCGAAATATTGATGGAAAATTAATTGCGATAAAAAATTATTTAAAAACGTCACAAATTTTTGTTTTGTCTATACGTGCAGAACATCCTTAATAGTAACATTATTTGTCAATATTATCCTTCAAACAGGTATTCAAGACATGATTGAACTGAATGCTCTGTATGGCACCGACACCTATCTTTTTTTCCTGAAACTAGTCACACTTACATCTTAAAATACGAGGATAATTCTGAACATTTGAGTTTCTCCGTCAATGCATCTTCGGCAAAAGGCGACAGCTTTAATGCATCAGGCATTCCATCTAATGTCCCTGGATATCTTACTACTTAGATACTTTTAACTGATTGAATTTCACTCACTCTTATCTGTTAGCTGCGCCACTTCACTTCCACGATACTTCAGAAGATGCTCTAACACAAACGAATCAACAAACTGCATGGGATGAACAAAAAGAAATAAAAGATCAGCAAAATAAATTCATCACCTCAATGACGGAATCCATGATTTTTTTTGCTTCAACACCGCACAATCATTAAAAAGTATTAAACTATACACATTAGTGGTTCCAGCTAGGAATAGGTATGATTCAATATGTGGAATAGGTATCAGGGAGGCTTTACACGAATACTAACGGGTAAATGAATATCTGAGTCAATTTGCCAAGACAGTGCAACATTATTTTTTTCGTGAATTTCTGATTTTCAGCGGTTATGAATTTAATTTCTGGAAGACTCGCACTATTTCGCTTCTCACAGATCACTAATTAATATGCAGACATTATTTAATCCATCATTTAACCGAATTACGAGGTTTATTAATATATATGAAGGCGTCTTGGTACCATTGTCATCGCACACCATCAATCGCTTTTTCACTCTTACCCACAAAATTTGCTGAAGGAGCGCCCTCAGCAAATTACTCGGTCTTGTTGATAACTACTAGGAATACGATACCAAAGAGGACAGACTGAAGTTACGTTGGATGCATAGGCTTAATATACACCGTGGACAGAGATTATAGGGGAGATTGCCAGGGCTTATGGGAAGGCTTTGGCGAGTGATTCATTGCGGCGGCTACGGAACTACGCCCAGAGAGCCCGTACGTGTAAGTAAAACAGGTCGCGAGCCCGTGAGTGTCGATAATTTTCATAGTTCGTGCGTGTTGATAATGTTCAGAGCCCGTGAGTATGGATAAGACAGAGCGCGAGCCCGTGAGTGTCGATAATTCGAGGCGGTCGTGAGTGTCAGAAAGGTAGGGCACTTATCGAAATAACGATGACGTCCGAAAACGAGCGAAAACATCCGATGTACATATACTCAAACGATTGAAAATCATCTGAAACGTGGAGATTTATTGGTCCCTCGGAACTTTTTTTTTTAACGATATCTTTTTTGTTAACAAATTACAAAATTACTAAACAGATTGGGGAAAAATTGTCTCGCAAATGTATACTCAAACGATTGAGAATCGTCTGAAACGTGGAGATTTATTAGTCCCTCGGAACTTTTTTTTAACGACATCTTTTTTGTTAACACATTCAAAAATGATTAAACAAATTGGGGAAAAATTGTCTCGCAAATGTATACTCAAACGATTCAGAATCGTCTAAAACGTGGACATTAATTAGTCCCTCGGAACTTTTTTTGTTGAACGATTTCTTTTTTGTTAACAAATTCAAAAATGATTAAACAAATTCGGAAAAAATAGTCTCGCAAATGTATACTCAAACGATTGAGGATCGTCTGAAACGTGGAGATTTATGAGTCCCTCGGAACTTTTTTTTAGCAAACGATTTCTCTTTTCTTAACAAGTTCAAAAATGATTAAACAAATTCGGGAAAAATTGTCTCGCAAATGTATACTCAAACGATTGAGAATCGTCTGAAACGTGGAGATTTAT